TGGGATGGGAGTGACTGCTCACAAACATAGACATCTGTTATTTAGCATGTCGTCTGGATTTTCAAAGACCAAAAAACTGGTATATATATTTTAAGTCCCAATGTTGTTTTTTGTTAATAAAGAAACAAGTCAGGAATCAAATTAGATTTAGAAATTTTCAAGATCATCCTTTGTCAGGCTACCAATTCTTTAACCCCTCTTCATTGAGTCTAAAGTTCCATCTTAGTGACCAATAAGAATTGAAAGTTCTGTTTGATGACAAATCTTTAAGTTTTGGGAACTTTTTTGTTTACATTTTTTTTTTTTTTTCCTTTTTTTTTAACAATACTTCATTTATTTTAAATGACCCTGTATAAAAAGAAAAAAAAAATGGATATGTATTCGAGTTAATATCTTTGTCACTTTTCTATTTATATCTTTTATTTTAAACAATTACAGAAAGCTGTTAGAAACTGAAAGAAACGTACAATTATACAGTAGATTCTACTTAAGTGGAACATATCACGATAGTGAATTTTTGACATATAAGTAGTCCCTCCTTTTTAATGATTTGCATAAAAAGGACCAAATATTACATAATATTTGGTCCAAAGTGGCTATTGTTTGGAACAAGTGGTCCATTTAACTGGTACTTACTTTATTTTGAATTAGTTGTTCATGTCTGAATTTTTAGTGTATTGCAAAAGCACTTTATAAATCTTTCACTGTTAGGAAATTTAATTTCTAGTAATTTTGTAAGGAAAAAGTTGAAAAAAAAAAAAAACAAACTTCAGTATCATATAAATTTAAAATAAGGTTATCAAATAAGAGGAGAAAGATGTTTAATTTTAATACTTTATTTTTTTTTTTTTTTTTTTTCATAATTCTTTGTATTTCAGTGCAGTTGGGTTAATTTTTGTTTTGTTATCATCTCTTAACTGTAGCTATATGATGATCTTCAGATGTACTTTGGAATGTTCTGAGGAACCATATGAATCACATTGGCTGCTTCTGGAACTGTCCTCAGGACCTTCTCTTGGCAGGAGGGTGTTTTTATTTTAATATAAATAAATCAATCAGTGGTGGTATCTGTTTGGTTTACTGATTGGAGGTCTTTGTGAAGAAGGCAAGAGAGTATAGCAACTGAAACTGATTTGATTTTTTTTTTTTAAAACTAGCAAAGACAAGGAAATTAGTTCAACTGGACCAAAATACAATAATTAGAACACCACAGGCAAAAATAAAATAAAATTCAGGAAAGTCCATAATACTTTATTGAAAAATTATATAATGTGTTAAAACCTTCATTTTTAAAAATAGTGATTTGGATAATATATAAAATAGAGTAAAAAGATTAAAAAATATTAAATACAGAAGCCATAAATCTTTTTCTCATTCTGTAGTATCTTTACATTGACTGATTTACAATTTGTTTTTTTCTTTTACTTCCCCCTCCCTAAAGAAAAAAAAAAAAAAAAAAAAATTGTCGAATTCTGTATACAATTTTTCTTCTATATCCAATCTATTTTCATATAATAAATATTCCTAGAAATTAATTTATGATCTATTTTTAAATTAGTCTTCCACATACAAAGCTCAATGGTCAAATTTATCAACTAAGATGTCTTATCTGAAGTTATAACTTTGGTTTAGTTCTTAATATAAATGTATAAAACTCCTGCCACTCCCCAAAGCTCTATTTCATTTTGTTATTTGTTTCAATTCAACAAGTAAATATTTATAACATTGATATAGTTGGGACTTAACCAAGCTAAAATTTTAATCTATGTACATCATTAACAGTTTTGAATTTTTGTTAAGATTTTTCTGTGTGACATGGATATAATCTCTGTACATTTGAACTGGTGAGTAACTAATCATTAAACCAGATTTGTTTTTTTTTTTAAGCATAACTGTTGGTCATTTAGGAACCGGTAGCTGCAAGTTAGTTACACTGGCATATTTTGTATATTTACTTTGGTAATGTGTGTTTGATTTCTTTTGCAAAACCTTGATTTTTTTCTTCCACCTCTTTATATTTTTAATCTTATTTATTGTTTAAAGTTAGTAAACAGAATGGAGTTAAGTTTTACCTGATTTCATGGTTATAGCTGATATTTCATTAACTTTAGCACCTTCAGACAATTTTTATTATGATTTCTTAAAAAAAAAAAATAACCTTGAGTTTTTCTTAAAAAAGTTAGCCTAGGGTTGAGAGGAGTAACCATTTAAGTTATGACAGGTTCCTTAAAAACTTTACATTAGTCTTGATTCATCTTAACAGCCTGAAATTTTAACTCTAGCGGCCATAACTCACACATTGTCATTACTTTCATTTATTGTTTCATTAATGTTATCTGATATATTTTAAATTATAATAATTTAGATCAGCATAAAACCTGACATTTACATATCAGATGACTGCAACTGAGCTGTCTGTTCTAATTAAGCATTTTTTATGCTATAAATTAACAAGGAAGTATTAATGTGAGTTTCATCTTAAAGTAGGTAAATGCCAAAAATTTCTGTATGTGTGGCTTATTTTTATTTTAATATTTTTGTCAAAAAAGATTGTTTGGCAAAGTTTAACTTACATATCAGCAAAAAAATAACATCAAAAGGAGTGTGTGTGTTTGTTTTTTTTTAAGACCCAGTATTACTGTTTACTCATTTGACTCTCTCAGCAATGTTTGTTTTAAAAAGCTATGTTTAGAATTTTAATAGCAAAAATGTTATACATTATTTAGTTTAGTTACAGGATTATGAAAAATATTTGAATTGATTGGTAATTAGCTGATGATTTGCCAACTATTCCAAAGAACACCACTTGCTGGCTTTGCCAATTGTCACAGGTGCCCAGTGTCCATTCTTCATTGGTCATCACTTGGCTGATAATATATGGAAACTAATCTTAAAGTAAACAATCTAACAACTAAATAGTGTATAAATAGTATATATTCTAAACATAGCATTTTAAAACAAACATTTGTAGCAATGTCAGCTGATATCTTGCTGAGTAGACCTCACAAGAACCAGGTCAAAGAAACCTGATAAAGAAGGTTTCTGAGCGATGGACTCTGATTTCTTGATGAATGAACAAATAACGATGATCCTGTATAAGACAGTGATCCCTAGAATACAGGAATGAGAGTGCCCTATGCAAAAGGAAGATAGTTAACCCCCCTCACTGTCTACAGCTGAAGGTTATAATTAAAATTTGCCTACTGCTTTATTTGTTTCATGGTTGACAATCTGGCCAGAGTTATTTTTTAAGCCACGAGTGTTTGACTGGAAAAAGCTGCACCCTAAGATTGAACTTGGTGTCTGGTCTACGTTGCAACATTACACATTTTCAAGGGAGTCAGTTATGTGCCATACATGATACATGCTTAGACGATCATGTATCTTTCGATACATGACTGATGAAGCAGATTTTTTCCTGCAGTAGGTTGCCATGTCCTCCTGTGGTAGACCAATTGCCATCCAAGGCTATAGAACCCATTCTGTCCTGTTATTTTTCCCATAGCTGGAGGGGGGTAATGTGAAGAAGAGGATTTATATCTTTCCCAAGTGTATTAACATGTAAGTGAATAAGGAATTTGAACTTGGCTCTCAGATTCCAAGCCATTATCCATTACTCCACCATGCCTACAGTAATAATGGTGTCAAGAGAAAAACTGTCTTTTTGACATGCCTTTTTTTTTTTCTTGCTGGTATAAGGGGCTAAAATTTGCCAATTGTTTATTAGGAAAATTATTGCTTAATATAATTTGTTAATGCAAAGTTGTGTTGTTTTGTTTTTTTTTTACTAGGCAAAAATTTCTGAGAGCATTCAAAATTTTTCTCTTCATAGAAAAATATAGGAAAACTAAGGATATGAAGAACATTAAAAAAAATTTTCTGGAAAAGGTAATTTTGGTACTTGAAAAAAAATACATTTTGTGTAGATGTTTTTTTTTAAGTGAGGAAATTAATATCAGTTGATTGAAGATCTTATTAATAAAAATGCCTCCTGACATTTTTCCTAATAATCTTTACTCCAATATGTGTACCCACTAAGTATAATATTTATAGTAATACAAAATAATGTCATATATGAAGAAATATAGTTTTAAGGGTTGCTATACTTAATGGGATAAAGTGCTCAATATCAGACATAGTGTATGTAAATATAAAAGTGAATATTGAAGTCAACTCTCAGCAGCGACAGGCTGTGTCAGGCCTGACAATTATGTCTAGCATGAAACAGCCTGTTGGCTTCAATGTTCACTTTTATATATATATGTGTGCGTGCAAGTATTCACCCAAACAAACAAATCTGATCAAATAGAACTGACAAGGTCTGTTGCAAAAATACAATAAAAGAAAAACAGGCCTTGTTGGTTGTATTTATTCAAATTTGTTTGGAGATTTATATATATATATATATATATATATATATATATATATATACGTGTGTGTGTGTGTATGAAAAAATTCAGTAGTCTCCTTCATAGTTTACCTTTACTTGCACATTTAGCTTTAAGAATATTTTACTGTTTTTAAATTTAAAATTTGAAAACTTAACAATATTTTTCCTCTATTTTACTTCCATGTATAAGTACAAGTTGCGAAATAAAATCATCACATTTACCTTAAAGTCCCTTGGGGTGGGGGACAAAACCTGTTGGTAATGAAAAGTTTTTCCTTTTGTCTTGTATATATAATTTGTGTGTGAAAGTGCTCAATGCCCAACAGCAATCTAAGAACTTATATATGATATAAATTCTCTTTGTTTAAGCATTGTTAAAATAAAGATAATAGTCTGAAAAATATATAGAATAATGAAGGTATCTAAAACTTCAGCATACAGTTGATTTTTTTTTTGTCTTGGATTTTCATTCATATAAAAATTTTGCAGTTAGTGGTATTTGTGAGCATAGATCTCTTTAAAAAAATAAAATAAAAAAGAAAAGGTATTTTGGTAATATGAATCGTGATGATAATAATAAAAAAATTCTTTTAAAGTCTTTCTGTTAGGCTCAGTGTTTGCCAGATTCTTTGAGAACTTTAGCACGGATTGAGGAAACTGACAACAAAAAATTGTAGAGAAGCCGATGAAAATCAGCAGTGCGAGTCATGTAAGCAGCATGTCCTGCATCTTGCAGGACAAATTGTTCACTGGTTGGGATGTATTTGAGATTCTCTTCAGCAATTTTACCAAGTTTTACATCTTGCGAACCTCGGATGAGCATTGTAGGAACCTAAAACAAACAAACAAACAATAATACAAGTCATCTAATATGCAATGTTTTCTCAATATGAAACATTAAAATGTGATAATTTTCATGAGATTTTGTATGTAGGACCTCTGGATTTTGTGTGTCATGACTATTTATCTGATTAGTTCAGTTTTGGTACAAGGCTATATTTTCAAAACCCCTGACAAAGAACTTACTCTCATTATCTTGCAAGTACACTGAAACATTTACTATTGTGAATGTTCTTTTTATCAAACTGAACAGCTACAGCAAATTAAAAATTGAATTTATTTTTATCTTTGATAAAAACTGTTCATGGAATAAGATTACACACTATTTTGTTACAAAAAGTGGTTAGTTTTTCATCTGGAGGAAAAGCATCTAATTTAATAAGAACTCATGATTGCCCAGGTCAGTAGATATCAGCTTCATGGTTTAAAAAAAACAAAAACATCAATACTGGAAAGAGCAATAACTACTGGATGTTGAGAAATATATTTTTTTGAAAAATTGCTTTAAAAGAAAGATTTTAAAAATTTCAACTTCCCAGTCACTGAACATCAAATGTTTCTTTGTAGGGAGACAACTAATATTATCATTTGTTTGTCATTAATCAAATGAATGAAAAACATATTGCTTAATCAAATAAAATTGTCAAAAAATCAAAACAGATAGTAACCATGGAAACTGTTTTACCTCAGCAACAATGATAGTTTATATAAATTTAAAAGTATAAGATCATAAAACAGACTTTTTGCACCAAAGAAGAATTAATATTAGTCCTGACCTTCAGTCTCTTCCTTACTGCTGTAATGTAGCTTCCCTGTGCCTTTTCTAAAAATACTTTCATGGTAATTGTTCTTTCCTTTATGGTACCTAGACTTTATGAATTTAAGCACAGTACTAGATTGGTGGCAAGGTCTCGTCAATTCACAGTTGAAATGGCTAAATGTAATCATAAGTTCTATGGTAACAATTTCTTATGCTTCTTACTTGAGGAACTCTCTTTCAGTTTCATGCTTTGCAGCCAACTTTGAGCTTCAAAAATTTAAATGCAATGTCAATTGTTATCTACTGTCTTCTGGATTACTCTTCTATTGTTATTGATCTTTAATAAAGGTTTCTCTTTTTTTGTTATTCTTTTACACTCAATAACCCCTCTTATCTTAGTGGCTTTACTGCCTTGCATGAGGTGAAATGGTTATATATATATAACTTTCAAGATACTTCAGCACTGGAAAAGTTTCAGATCATAACCTCCATGAATATAAATGTTAAATAATACAATGTTATTAGAAATATGATCCCCACCCACCAAATAAAATACTAACCAGCAGCTTAAAAAAATATATATATAAAATAATTTCTACAAAAATTATGTATTGGATTTATATGTTACTAAAATGTCTTTTCTTCTCTCATTTTATTTTTAATTTTTTTAAATTAACTAACTCCATGGAAGATTTAGCTATGAGAGGGTGCTAAAAAATTTGTTGTCTGACCTACTTGCCTAAATCTGAATAAGCAAATCATTTTTATTTTCCAATCAATTAAAGAACCTTTTAGCAGCACTCTGTCCCAATATCCTAAGGCATTACTCTGAAAATAGCATTTTTTTGTCATTCTTTTGTTAGATATATATAAAACTTTTAGAGGTGTTTGAACTATTGAACATTTTCTGGAACAACAGACACTACCTCCACATACTTTAATAATGCATAAAGAAAATCATTATTTACACTTTTAACCTGTTTAACCAGCAATACAAGTCGTCTATGATCACAACACATGGTTATCTAATCATTGAAAAGAATTACGTAGCCTGAGATATAAGTAGAATAAGGCTGTCCATATGAACAATTGTTGCACTTCACTGCATTTCCTTGTTGCACTTCATCACTGATTTATTTTGCTAGTGACATTTTACTCAGATATCTGGAGATTTACATATGCTTAAGGAAATGATGTGATCAGCTCATTTTTTTTTTTTTTTTAATTCATAAAAGATAATTTTTGTGAAAAATGTCCTGCTTTACTGTTCCACCTAGTCTGCCATGTTCACTTTTGCTCATTCCCTTCTCCCTCCAAATATAAGTTAACCATTTCGCATTCAACATGCTCAAACCCACCCTGTAAATATCAACATGCTCAAACCCACCCTGTAAATATCAGCTCTCAAAAGTCTCACTGTTTGTGTAACTTCCTGTGTTATTTGCAATGATGCCGTCATATATATATTATGACAAAGTATACATATGGCAGACTACAGTGGATTGAACATTGAGAGTCGATATTTACAGAGCAGGTTGAATGCGAATAGTTAAATAGTAGGGTAGATTGAGCATTTTAGCCTTTGAGGTAGCCAGTTACTCTGTCCTCTCTGCAGTTTTGAAATTCAATGGGAAATATTGGAACTATTTTTCTTAAAAAATTATGGCAATTCACAGATCTGTGGATAGTAATGATTGCCTTGGTCATGTAGGCATTAAATAAAATTACTTTTACATTTTGCAGAAGAGTATGCAAAATCTAATTACACTATTTCAAAATAAGGTTAGAAAGGAAATCCACATCAATACTAAAAAGAGCAATATCAGTTACAGGAGTTGAGAAACCTATTTTCTTGAAAAATTGGTTAAAAGAACGATTTTATAAATTTTAACCAAAGGTAATACTGGCTGCTCAGTGAATACCAAATTTTTCTTTAGAAGGGAGCTGCTAATATTACCATTACCATATCTGTTAACTTTATTAGGTGTTTTTTTCCAGGATAAAGGAACATAGCTTCAATCCCTATCAAGAGGTACTTTTTCTCTAATAAAACTCTTGATTGCCCAGGCCAGTCGATATCAGCTTCATGGTTTAAAAAAAACAAAAACATCAATACTGGAAAGAGCAATAACTACTGGATGTTGAGAAATATATTTTTTTGAAAAATTGCTTTAAAAGAAAGATTTTAAAAATTTCAACTTCCCAGTCACTGAACATCAAATGTTTCTTTGTAGGGAGACAACTAATATTATCATTTGTTTGTCATTAAATATTGATTGTAGCAAGTATATTTTAATTTAGCTTTAGGCTTAATTGTCATTGACTGATATAAATTGTTTTGCAGTGCTTGTGGGATAATTAATATACTAATAAAATAACAATAATTGAATTTTAGGAAAATATCAGAAGTATAAGATGCTATCCTAAAGTTTATAGAAATTTATTATGAAAAAAAAAATTGTACCTGCAACAAAATTTTCTAAGTGTAGCTTAGATGTAGCACAAAGCTGAAAGTATGGGGCACCCAGTGAAGATTGAACTCACAACTCAGTTGTAATTGTTCTAGCAAGACAAGCTTGCTAACCATTAAACCATGTTGGGGTGCCCTAATGATTTTCTAATGTAGCTTAGATGTAGCACAAGGCCGAAGGTGTGGCGCACCCAGTGAGAATGGAACTCACTACTCAGTCATAATTGAGCTAGCAAGACAAGCTAAATGATTTTCTATGTGTAGCTTAGATGTGGCACAAGGTGGAAAGTATGGAGCACCCAGTGAGGATTGTACTCATTACTCAGTTGTAACTGATCTAGTGAGACAAGCTTGCTAACCATTACACTATGTTGAAGTGTCCAAGCACCTACAACAACATTTTGATGGAAATTGACAATTTTTGTCATCCTCCACATACAAATGTCTGAAAACTCGCTATAAAAACTGGCCATTTATTACATCTCCTTCTCAGGTGTTGATTAAATACTACTTACTCTAACACCCACTTTGAAAAAGTACTTCACAGAAAACTTGTGTTAGGGTAGTGTTTACAGATGGTAGTAACAAAAGACCATATGCATTCATTGTTCAATTTGCCAATTTTTGAGTAGCATTTCATTTGAATGCCTGAGAGATACAGGTGATAAAGTTTCTTAATGTGCAGCTCAGAGCTTTCTAAATATTTTGCATTGGTGATGGACTTAAAATAAAAAATTGTGACAGATTTCTTCAATATTTTAAAGAAAGCCAATAAATTACATTAAAGCAGTCTTTCTCAACTTTTTTTTACTTCAGGGTGCACTTGTAGAACAACTAAAACTCTGGGTGCACTTTAAAGTTTAATAAGGAAAAATTAATCAGGAAATTTTGGTTTAGCATTCCCAAAGATTAGTAGTACAGTTTTTATTTAAAGAGATTTATAAAGATGAAGAATTTGCTTCTTTTTTTTTTTTTTTTTAAAGGGAGATACTGATAATGACTGATTTAAATCCCTTGAGGGAGTCAAAAATGAAAGTATTATCCACTCTTTAAAGATTAAAGAATTTAGCATCCATTTTAAAATATCAAATAACAAACATTTGACTTCAACATAGAAGTCATGTGCTTGGTGTTTCTAGCTTTTTTAAAATAAAGATTTTTAAAATATAATTCATAAATTACTCTTTGGTTAACTTGAGGTATAACTTGTTACCTTTCAGGGCACATTAGTGTGTCCTGGCAAACTCATTGAGAAACACTGCATTAAAGTGTCAGAGTATAAAAGATCTGCTTTGAGTTTCATATAAAATTGGCACTGGACACAGGTTTTCTGATTAGTTAAATAATTAATCAACACCTTTGTAAGAGAAATTGTGATGGCCATTTGTGGGACAAAAATTTTCAAATTTAATTTTTTTCTGCAGGATAATAAAGCCTTAGTATTTATACACCATGGGTTACCAATATTTCATGTGTTAGTTTTTCTATGCACAAGTTTATACACCATATAAATCTTGTACTCGCATTAATACTTGTAAAAATATTTATCAGAATATATATATATATATAGCATTTTTATTTAACTTATTGATTTAATATATAAACAGGATGAGGGTTACTTCCCTTAAATGAGACTTAATTCTTGATTTTATTAAAATTTTAATGCTTTAAGTTAAAACAGAATTATTTAAATTTCAATCAGTCATTATCTAATCTCATTTTATTTTTAATTTCTTAGTTGAAAATACTTATTTACATCTGCACATAATTTCTAAATGGCAGGTGTAATTCTAAGCAAATTTTCGTCACTCTGGATAATAATAATAATAATAGAAGCATTTGAGATTGAGGGAAGCTTATTTCATTTTCAATAATGTTCTTAAATCAAGCTCCATCTGTATGTTACTAGGCATCTTCATGACTTTTTGCATGCTAAACGAATTATGTTTAATGCAAATATGCAGTCTTTTTTCCATTGTTCACTGAATTCATGTTTACTAACATTTTCTGTTTTTTCTCTTGCTTATTTTTTATACTTTAAAGGGGAGTTGCATTTACTCATAAAGAATTAATGAAATATAACTCTAATGTTTAAATGTAAGCTGTAAACTCATTGGCAAAAATCATTAGAATGTAATGTTCCCACAGGTTGGCCATCATTGGTCAAGAAGGCAAAACTTTCTTTAATGGTGTGATAATCCTCTCTAGTGAAATGAATTTCTTGCTATAACATTGGCAAGAAAGCAGTATGCTCACTAGTTTAGGATATTAACTTAGCTTTCTCTGCAATTTATTTTCATTAGATTTATCAAGTTGTAGCATCTGAAGTTTGATCAATTTCTGCTATATATATATATATATATATATATATATATATATATTTATTAATAAATATACATATACCTATGTTTGTGGTGCGACTTCAGTTTCATTATTTACCAACTCATTAGGCAATATCTAATATGCTAATATCTAGTTATTTGATTTATCCACCTCTATACCTTTATATATATGTGTGGGTGTGAAAAAAATCAGATATAGCTAAATGTATCTGTAATACTAATGTATCTGTAAAAAAGACCATATGGATAAAGATAAATTTCCGCCTCTCCAATCTAAAGAATACCACACTTATTAAAAAGAAAGTATCTTATTGAGATAGAAAATTCTTGAGAGTGTGGCTATTGAATGTTACCAAAATATGAATCTGAGCCCTGGATTTTTTTAAATATCTCCTTTCCCAAGCCAACATACATGACTATAAAAAAATTTTAAAATTAAAAGAAAATGGTTAAATTCGAAACCTTCTATTATTTAAAATATATAATTTATTGATAAAAAAAATTTACAAAACCAAATTGTTCCATGTGCAGTGTCCCTTCAGGAAATGAGCAATCATGGCTCTCCACAACTTCCTATCTTCTGTAGCTCTTAGTAATATTTCTTTTTGCAACCCTTCCACTCCCTATTCTGTCATCCATTTACATAAGTTTGTTGGGTAAGTGACTGCCTCCTCCTTTCCGGTTTTCTTTTGATATGTCCTGCAAGTGTCAAATTTTCCAAGCCTTCCTTCCAGACAATAAATAAATAAAAAAAATCCTTATTTCATTTGATCATAAAACTTTCATTGGATTTAATACCAGATATCTCCCATGTGAGAATCATTGATAGACAGATTCCAGTGCTAAGAGTATTTGACCCCCATGTTTTTATTAAAAAATAAGTTTAATAATTATCCATTATTTGTTGTCTTTCTGTAATTGTAGTGTTAGATATTCTTTATAGAAAAGAGTTCTTACCTTTATTCTCTCATACTCAAAGTGTTTATACTTCACAGTTCCAACTACTGCTATAGATACAAATCCACTGCACAGTCGTTGCTTAGAGGCTGCAGCCTTCATCAAAAAGGGAAGAGAATACATGCCACTCATTGATGGACTAATAATGACAGGATCATTCATATCCAACATTTTGATGATCTCTTCCAAAAATTCTCCATGATCACGGATCGGGAAGTGAACAGTTTTGCCTTTACCTTGAAGGAAAAAAAAAAAAAAAAGATAGGATAAATACATTCAAATTCTCTGCAAATTCCAAGTTTACATTTCACAAATATTTTAATTTAAAAAAAATATTATTCTTCAACATTTTGTAATGAGATGTGTTAAAAATAATTAGCTGTGAAGATAGAATAGAAATTATTTATTTTGAAAAGACATTTACCTTTTTTCCCCCATCTTTTATCACTTTCCCACACCATAATCTAGCTTCCCTGTGCTTTTTCTATAAATAGTTTCATGGTAATTGTTCTAATGAACTTTCCTCTTTGGTATCTTGACTTTACAAATTTAAGTGCAGTACTAGATTGGCAGCTAGGTCTCATCATTTTACTGTTGAAATAGCTAGATGTAACCATAAGTTCTATTTTAATAGTTTCTTCTCTTGAACTTCTCATCTCTGGAACTCTCTTCTGGTTTCTTGCTTCACTGCTGCTCACAAACTTCAAAAATTTAAATGCAACATCAATTGCCATCTTTTGTCTTCCTGAATCCTGTTCTTTTATTGTCCTTTCTCCTAAAGTCTTCTCATTCTCTTCCACTCCAAGTAACTCACTTGTTTGTTAGTGACATTATTGCCTTACTTGGGTGAAATAATAAAAAAAATGCTATGTCCCTTCTGGATATAGGCGATCATGACTCCCGATAAATTATTATTTATGAATTACCATGCATTGGGAAAGATAACAGAGTTGCTTCCTGTTACCTTTTTCATGGTTTGAAATTCAGAGTTTTCCTTCTCTTAGACTGGTTGCCATTCAAAGCTATTATTTAACCCATACCTAGTAGGGAAGAAGAGACAGATTCATGTTTTCCCAAGAATATTTGTGCGAAAGTAAACATAACAATCTAAGCTGAAATCTGATATACTATTGAAAATATAGCAATGATTTACAATGAAAATTCATCAATGATTTACTGTAAAAAATATATTGTAAATAAATGTCTTATTGTTTCAAATATAATACAGATATTTATAATCCACATTATGACATTAATAGAATATTTATGTTTTAAAAGCATTTCTTTTGTAGAGAGGTCTTTGTACCTGGTAGATCAACAGCCACAGCTCGGTAACCTGCTGCTGCTAGTAGCTGCAAAGTGACAAGGTCTTCCCAAGTTTTGGAACTGAATGTGGATCCATGTAGCAACAGGACATCAACTTTACTGACAGACAATGGAAATGTCTGTCTTGTTGAAACAATAATATTCTGTAGGAGAAAAAGAAAATTATAACTAAATATTTGAAGAAAAAGAAAAGGAAAAGAGAATTTCATTTATAGTATAAGCCAAGTAATTTTTACTTTCTATATATTTATTAGTCTGTCCATTTCTTTTTCATTGACAGCAAGATAATCAAATTTCAAATCTGAATTGTTCATTTAAAATACTACATTTTTTAGAAAATATGTTCAGCTTAAATGCAGAAGTAATCATAAAAATTTATAGTAAAATGAATTTCTTGCTATAACATTACCAAGAGAACAGCATGTCTGTCTAGGATATTAGCTTTTTCTACTGCAATTTATTTTCAATAGATTTATCAAGTTCTAGCATTTGAAGTTTGATCACTTTCTGATATATATATAATAATAATAATAATGGACTCTCCCATCGGTTTTGACGTATGAGGATCTGATAACTTATTGATTCAGTTATGAAAGTTTGTGCGATAATCTTACGTAGCATTTAAGACCCGCTAGTGATTTATATATATATATATATATATATATATATATATATATATATTGAATAAAAACAGACCACTTTAAGGTTCCATGTAATAAGTTATTTCACCATAACCCCTTTAACAGGGCTCTGGATCATCAGACTTTACTTCAAAGGTTGAAATGAAAAATGAAAAGAAATTCACACATTCTTGACAGACCGCATCAAGCATATGTAAAATTAACAAAGTGAGGAAGTGAGGGGGAGAGAAGATATGAGTGAGTTAGATGTACCATTTCAATTCTTTATTCTTAACCTCACTGTGTGTATGGGCTAGACGTCGCTTAAACTTAATTTGTTATCTCTAGATATAGATGAGTAAGGGTGAGGGGCATTAAAGACTGACATTAAAGGAAGAAGCTACAACAAGTTAATAAATTACATTCCACGAGGGCAGGTTTCATTCAAATTTTAGACGCTGTTAATTCGCATTACTTTGTGGGCAAATTTGGGAGCTTAAGGTTTGATATAAATCTAAATGTCTAAACAATATATATATATATATATATATATATATATATATATATATATATATTTGTGAATGTATAAACAATCTATATATATATATATATATATATATATATATATATATTAAAGCAATCCTTCTTTTATGCAAGTTTTTTAAAAAATGACTGACAAGGTGTTGTGGTTAAGTTTTTTATATAATTTTTTCATGTGCTTTTAAATTTTTTTCTTTGCAGGACATAAATTAGATAAAAATTGTCCAAATGTTTTATATATCCAAGCACTTTTGGCTATACTTTTACCCATTATCAAAGATGAATTTTATTTTACTTTTAACTGAATATATGGATTATTTTATATATCTAGATTTGTAGGGATGTTTTATTTTCAAAACACAATCAACACATTGTGGCCATGTTCATAGTTGATATTATTGAGCATTGGTTCAATAAGAACTCATGAAAAATTATATAAGAAACTTAACCACAGCACCGTCTCAGTTGTTTTTAACAAAACTTATATATATATATATATATATATATATATATATGATTCAGTGTAATATAAATTAAACTGCACCACATAATTGATTTAAAAGAACTGATCCAATGTGCAAACTTTCAGGAAAACAACTGAGACATTGCTCTAGTTATTGAACTCTTTAGTTCATGCCACGTTGACTGATAAACACCTACAAATATATATATATATATATATATATGGGAAAACAATATATAAATTTTTATATATCAATTTAAAAACAAATTAATTTTTCAAACTAAATAATATAATACAGTGTAACCCGGATATTGAGAAAGAGATTTTTCAAAATTTTTTTCCCTCCTGTTTTATATCTGGTCCCAAATAAGAAAACCCGGATATGTTGAAGAGATTTTTTCTAAATCCCAAACAGAATGTTCCTTTTTATAAAAAAAAAAGGATATCTTTTTGAAACCCGGATATAAGAGAGATTTTTCTGGTCCCAAATTAGAGCCTGTGTTAATGTATATAATTAGATTAAACCCGGATATAAGAGACTTCTTCTCCGGTCCCGACAACTCTCTTATATCCGGGTTACACTGTAACTATATTATAAAATAAAACTACAAATTCAACAATAACCACATTTACTCACGTTCATTTATGAGACATTAAATTACATCACTTGGTGCCTTCTATAATTTAGCTTAACTTTAAGTTAGCCCAATGTATATTTATGAGAGTCCTTAAATTTTAAAATTTTGAAAACCTAACATTTTTACTTCTGTTTATAAATACTTGTATATATGACTTCAAAAGGCTGCACATTTTGGCTGTTACTCTTTTCATTCAAATTGTGTGTGCATATATGTTTGCAGGTGCACATGTATATTTTAATTTAATGACAGACCTACAAATATTTGTACAAAATTTAAAAGCAAAAATAAATTATTACTGAATAATTTCCTAAAAGTTCAATAAAATCTTATATTTATCAGGTTTTTTTTCTTAGTGTCTAAAAAAATTAAGTTTATTTTTTCTTGTCTCTGATTTTATAATTTAATTGCTCAGTTCCAAGTAGGTGTTGTCCTGACTGAGTTGGTGGGGAATGTATTATTCCAATCTCTTATTTCAAATTCAAACTGGGCATATCTGTGTACACATGTAAGTCACTCACACACAATAAATACCTATACATTTACATTGTATATGCATATGCATACAAGGTGTGACAGACAGAGAATCAACTATTTTATAATATAGATTAACAAATTTATTTAGTATTACTTTAGTTAAAATAATTTCTGTGACTGTCATTGACTATTATTTTGTTTCTTTTCCTTACTGTCTTCTTAATTGTTGTTCTTTTATTGTCTTCTTCCTTAATAGTAAATTTTTCTTATATTCTCTAACACTCAGTAACCCATTGTGTCTTTGTAGACTTATTGCTTTGATTGGGGTAAAATAATAAAATAAAGCAGTTAAATGCACATGGAATAGATAATAATAAAACAAAAAAATTCATGATTTGTTTTACAGCATAAAGCAAAATCATTTTTACACTTTAATTCTTTTGGTTCAAAAAGGGAAGAACACTAGATTTGTTAAAATCTTCATTAATTTTGTTTGGTGCTAGATTTTCAGTTTAAATGTAATTTTCAAATGAAAAAAGATTATTTCTAAAAAATATTTCAATAAATCAATGATTAATTTTGTCAAATATGATTTTAGTCTTACTCAATAGAGACAATGACACATCCTGTTATAATTTTGATTATCCCACCCTTCGTTATTTAGTTCCTTAGTTAGTTTGCACAGCTGTTATGCCCTGAGAATACCTCGTAAATAATGGTCTATTCTGTTTTGACTGCATGAAAACATGAACAGTGAAAAAAATGAAAGAAAGAACTGTTTAACATCTGTTTCAGCAAGATGGAAAAAGTTTTCAATTTAAAATCTTTTCATTTGTACACCCTTAAAATAATGACTAGCATTCATATTCATGATTGTTATTGCAATATTTTGTTAAAGATATTAAGCCCAAATAATTAATGATGTGATAGGGGGAATTGCTATGGATATTTAATTGTCATAGGACTTGCCATGAGTTGATTCAGTTATTAACTTAAGATTCATCAGGAAATTAAAATAGGAAAACTGTGAAATTTTTATGTGTCTTTCTAGTTTACATAATTCTTTATGATTTAAATGAAGTCAGCAAGACTTTCCAGTAAGTTCCACATTGTAAACATATTTAAAGGTTTTAATGATTTGTTTTATAGTTGGTTTGATAAAGCAACAGAAAATGGCTAATGTCAGCTTTTTATTAGCACTCCAGGTCCCAATTGGTACATCTAAAAACCATCAGATGTAATATGTAAACTGGAAGTTGAGAAGCTGTTAAATATACAGGTTTATTTCTGAGAAATTGCATATTTTGAAATGGGTGCATAAAATTACTCAAAATATTTGAGGTTGGTTTTTAATTGAGAAAATATTTATGAACAAGTAAAACATGTCACAAAAATAAATGGGCAAAGGGAAAAACCAGCTTATTTGCTAATGTAATTATTTAGTGTAAAGTAATATTATGAAATGTTTTAAATAATATATTTTTTATATTTAATTTGCATTGTCCATAAAAACTGAAAAACACAATTTGTCTAAAATTATTTTTCAGAGGCCAGTATACAAAAGTATTCTTAAATCTGTTTTTAATAATGGACATGGATTGTTGAACAGCAAAAAGAAATGGGAAAGTGTTCAGATATTTGTGAGATTTTTTTTTCTGGAAAATAGTAGTTCAACTCTTAAATTATTTTTTACTAATGTTCACGCAATAAAAGGTCCAAGAGCCACTCAAGATTTTCAAGGGTTACTGTGTGGAATTTTATTAGTGTAAGAAAGAGCATGATGTGAAGTTCTTGGGTCTATGTATGAAAGATAACAGCTAACTCTAGACTTGAAGAGGTCAAGACTTAATTAGTGAATAACATTTCAGAGCTCAGGTAGAGATGTTAGATATTTAGTGTGGAAGTAGACTTTAGAAGGAACAAGAAACCCAATCTGAAACAAGGAATAAACCTCTACTCCTGTTCAAAACACAGGGATGAGTGTGAACATTTAAAAACTTGATGCTACTAATTTTTTAATTTCATTACTTGTGACTTTTGGGAAAATATTCTTTTATTTTTACAATGATGTTCACTCTGTATAAGGCCCGAGAGCCATTGAGGTAGAGAGTTACAGAGTAAGAGGCACAGTTTATGTGTGGAAGATAATGGTTAATCCTAGATGTGAACAGGTTTAGATTGTAGTGATCAGGGAAGCATCCTCTTGAGATGGTCATTTTTGTTTAGTGGCATATCAACACATTTATGGGTTATTTAATGTTAAAAATTTAAATATTTATATGCAATTTTATTTCATTTTTGGAGATAATAAAGGTTTTAGTGATGCAAGTCTTACTAATTAACCTGTAGTTGGGGGAGGGAGAAACGGATGATTCATCCAGAGGTATTTGTGTGTAAGTGACTATAACGAAGTGAACTGGAATTAGAACTCAGCTCTCCAATTAACAGTTCCGAGCCATTATCCATTACACCACCACTAGATCCAAGCTTACAGTACCTGGTATTCCCAAGCAGTCACCCATCTAGATACTGACAAGGCTCAGTATTGCTTAACTTTGGTGATTGTACGGAAATCAGTGTTTCAACATATTATGGCCATAAGCCATCCCCTTTGTAGTTGGTTTCACAAAACAGCAGTTCATGAGAAGAAGCTGCTCAAGTGGAACTTACATCTCACCAATGGATGTAAAGGGAATGAGGGTGGTTTGGTACAATGTGCATGGCATGATGGGATTTAGCCATATTTTTTTTTTTTTTTTTTTTAAGCATTACGCCCCAAGCAAGGCGTGAAGCCACTAGGATGCAAGGGGTTGCGGAAGATTTGGAGCAAGAGCAGATAGGAGTTATAGAAGAAAGGATGAGGAGAAGGATAGTGGGTAGATCAAGGTAACTGGAGATGTCGATTGACATTACATTTGAATAGTTGGAGATTATAGCTTCAGGGAAACAGTAATTGGGGAGGGTGTTCCACTGGCGAGAGGTGCGAGGTATGAAGCTATTGGAGTAGAAGAGACGGCTACATTTGAGAGTTTCTACAGTGTAAGGGTGGGAGCGGGATGCCAGCCTCGTAGGGCGCTTGAATTCATGGAGTCTGGGAACCAGTGAAAGCAGCTCGTCAGAGCAGTTACCATGGAAGTATTTGTAGAAAAGACAGAGAGAGGCGACGGCGCGTCTGTGAGAGAGTGACTGCAGACGAGACGCCAGATCAGGGCCAATTAGATTACATATCCGTCTCTGGATCTTGTCAAGAACTCCGAGGTAAGCAGAAGGTGCCCCAGCCCATATATGGCAGCAATATCCATGCAAGGGCGAATGGTTGTTTTGTATATTTGAAGTATCGATTCGGGGAGAAAAATTTCCTGGCGCGGCACAGAGAGCCAACTTTCCTCCTTGTGGAAGAAGCAATTGACTCAATGTATTTGTTCCATCTCAGGTCAGCAGTCAACGTGAGACCGAGCAGATTAGGAGTTGCTCTCAGGAAGTTGACTATCAGACATTATAATGGGGGGCTGGGAAGGATCTCTATGGTGGTTAATTTCTGAGTAATTTAGTCTTGGTGGCGTTAAAGTTGACCAGCCAATTCTTGCCCTATTAACAACTGATTGGAGGTCCATTTTTTTATTATTGTCAACCAGATTAGTTTTTTAATGAGTACTAGATTTGTTTTTAGGCAGGAGAAAATGAAAGAAAGTGTCTTTTTATAGATGCCAATATGTGAATCTTAGGATGTTGGGATCATTCATTGATGAAAATAAGGAAAGATTGGGGCCTTTTGGAGCCAAGAGATAAACACTTGTTAAATGGGATAGGAACTGGAGGAGAATCTAATGAGAAAATTCAAGTTCACGGTTTGACAGAAATGATTGTACATCAAAAAGTTGACCATCAAGTGATACCTTGCAATCAGGAAAAGAAGAAATGAGCAGTCAATTATCGAAGTTTGATTTGAGATTCTCGAGGGCCATAAATGTCCTTGTAGTTCAATTTTGAAGGGCTTGGTAGACGGTTTCAGTTTCAATAAAAGCACATCAATGTGGAGTTTTTTTCCAGGTTCAAACCATATTATTTGTCTGAGATTTGTGGAACTAAGAAATAGAGTGACGATGACCACTTTAATAAGGAAACCGTTTACATATAGAAATTAATAAGGTTTATTCAATGTTTTGTTAAATTGAGAAAGGAGTTGTAGGGTGGAAAATAATTTGTCATCTACAAGGATATGGAGATATTTTTGGACTCTGGAAAAAGTGAAGACTGAGCATTCTGTACTATTTTCTATTAAAAAAACAGTACTCCATTTTGGCAGGGTTTGATCTGACTTGTTGTAAAAGGTATGTGATAGCAGGAAGCTGGGTTAACTCATGAAAACAAAGTTAATTCAAATTTAAATTTCTTTTAATACTAAATTTCACACAAAGCTCGAGAGCCACACAAGGTAGAGGGTAATAACAAATGGAGTGTATGTGAATGAGAGAGAAGATTATGAGGATAAAGATGAAAGATGATATTTAACTACAACTTGAAGAGGTCAATATATAAGGTCTTCAAAAAATATACCAAATCTGGGAGTCTGGAAGGCTAAAAGTGGCAAAAGAAAAAAAAAAGCTGTTTGAATTGAACTTTTTTCTTAAATTTGAAAAATTGAGAAAATAAAAGAGATTTGAATCCATGGAAGTGGCATGCCATGTCTTAATTGTGAAGGTCTGAACTGGTGTAACTAAAAAATGGATCTCATCTGAACTTTTGTCCTGGAAACAGTGGTAGTTGTGACAGGTTTGTAACATGGAGAAATAGTTTATAGAATGGAAAATAAATTTTCTCCGATAAGACTGCTAAAACAATTGTACTGCTGGGCTTTCAAATGCACTCCAAATTGGCAATCCTGATCTCACATAACATTCACTAGTGTAGTTCAGTTTATGAATGCAGTAGGTTAAGCTGAACTTAGGTACCATAAAAAAGAAATATTTACTATCTATATATAAAATTCTGTGATTTCTGTTAGTCCGTCCATCACACTCTCTAAAATAGTTATACATTGACTGATTGGAACCAAATTTCTGGGAGAAGTGCAAACAGATAAGAGGGTACAAAGTACAGTTGGTTTTAATAAGTTTTTGTCAAAGTATTTTTCCTAACAAATCAGTTTATTCAAATTTCAGTGATTGGTTTGCGAAATTGAATGAAACAGAGTTTGTAAGTCTCAACAAAAAATGTTAGCGATAACTTCAACAATACTAAATATTGTGAGGATTTCAACATGTGTCAGCATGTTGCAAAACATTCTTGTCCCTAAAAAACTGTGCAGACACTTTAACACATTGACTAGAAACCATGAGATAATTTGCAGTTTGCAGTTTTTATTATGATGTCAACCAAGAGTTGTTTTGTGGTCTTGTCATCAAGGCTACAACCACAAGTTTTTCATTGTTTTTAATGAATATGAGTAATACCTGGCATCTAAGGCAGGAATGAAAAATCATACTGGCAACTAAAAAACAAACATTTTATGGGAAAAATTTACTGAAAATATAACATATAAATGAAGCATATGAAAACAGCAGAAGTGTCCAGTATTCAAAACTAGTTGGCATTTAAAGTCAGATTTTGTAATTGATAGTCAATGTGTTAATAGCAAGTGTAGACATTATTTGAAAATTAGTTAAATAAATTAACATGATGATGAAGTTCAGAAAGAAATCTATTAGATATTTATGTTTAAATGATGCTTCATGTGTTCAAAATTTCTTTTTTCTAATGTATGGCATAGTTTACAGCAGATAGAATTGTAAACATTAACACTTACTACAGTCAAAGAATTGTTACATAATCAAAAAACATATTTTAGCTGATATTTTTTTTTAGAATTGATTCTTTAACAATGATCATCCATTATTTAAAACGCATTATTTGTAAGTGTTTAATTAAAGTTCATGTAATACCTGGAGACTTATTTATTTTGTAATTTCATGATAAAATAACACAATTTCTGTTTAATGATGTCTTCATCATTTATACACATATCGGTGTGTTCCAGAATTCATTATCACATTGTTACAAGGTGGTAGAATACAACTACTACTATAACCTCATTAGTACAATGGGGAGGTGCTGCCAAGGATCAGGTATGATTCAATTTATGCCGTTTTGTTTGAAGACAGAACTGATTTCAGTCTCAACGAGCCATGCATCAGGGTGATATTAGTGTAATAGAACTACAGTTTATTTCTTAGACTTAATTTAACAAAATAATACACATGACAGCAATAGTAGAACCAAAAACAAAAATTATACCCTAAACAAAGCATCAACAGTAATGTTATGACTCCCAGAGCAGAGCTTTGTCAAAACTGTGGCAAGAAAGCTCAATCCTCCATCTTTGACAAGTTTGCTTATAATCAAAACATTAATTTCTGGTCAGTAAGAAGTGGACCTTCCAAAAGCTAAGGAAAGCCAAAAGCTAAGGAAAGTATTAAGAAACAGGAAAATTTTGTTATAAACAAAGAAGAATGCTGAACTGTTATGGGTTATCAGGAATAGCAAAAAGACAAACCATCCTAAGAGCTACAAAAGATAGGAAGTTGTGAAGAGCTATTATTATACACGTCCTGAAGGGACACAGCACATAGAAAAAGAAATGGCAGCCAGTTAAATAAAGTCTCTACTTGTACAGAGCCCCAAAATAATATATGCCTCCTTCTCTATTGCTATGCGTTTAGGTTCAATAGAATCTAATATCCATGACAAGAAAGCCACTAGTATCCAGTTTAATTTAAGGTAGCAACTGTGATAGTGTGTCAGATGTAGAGGGAATTGTTTTATCAAATTTTTCCTATTTCAGTTTTCAAGCACTTAATGCTTTTCCATTCAGTCATCTTGAATAGTGGAAATATCATAACTCCTATGAGAGAAGCAACCTTCCTAACCTTGTTTTTCCAATGGGAATAGTATGAGAACAGACCTATAGCACATTGTAGTGAATTCATATTTTAAGATGAAGTTGTTTTTTTTTTTGTAGCTGAATTCTTGAGAATCAGTTTTAATTTTACCCTCAGAAATTTGAATATTACACAAGGTTCACACAAAGGAAAATGGAAAAATTATTCTTTGCCCACAAAGGTCAAGTTAAATTTTTTAGTAATCTCAGTAAATTTCAATGTGGTTTATTTAGTTCTTTTTCCCAACATACAGTTATATTGAAGTCTAAAGACAAATACTCATTTTGCGATGGGTGGAATTGTCGCCATTTTATATTTTTAATTTTGTGCATAAACATTGTTTTGGATTTTGTTGACTGCACAGTATAGTAACAAAGTTTTATAAATGCAGAAAAGAGCACCATGACAAAATTTACTCTGCCAGAAATTTAAAACAGCATGCTGTAATTTTGGCATTTTATCCAGAAGCTCCAATACAAAGATTTCAGAATTTTTTGTATTCAATCTGAGGACAGTACAGAGGATTTAGAAAGAGTTTAAAAATATTTAATATAAACAATTAAAGGTACATCAATTTGGAAAACTCATTTTTGATCATTCTGATAAGAAAAGAACTCCTGAATTTGTTGGTGAGATCCAGGATATTTCAAACAATGATATTT